CAATTTACGCGCAGAGAACATTTAAAATTGCATCTCAAAATTCACACCGGAGAAAAACCTTTTAAATGTGAAATATGTTTGAAACGATTTATACAAAAATGCTCTTTAAAAAGGCACTTACAAATTCACACCGGAGAAAAACCATTTAAGTGTAGGGTAAGTCCGGGATAGATGGCCATGAAGAACCATTTTTGATGGTAGTTCGAGTTTAAATAACATGACGACAAAAATGTTCAGGTACATTGTTGGATCATACCTTGGCTTCAAAATAAACCAAATATATTAAGTATACAAGTAAACGTGTTACGAAAATTTGTAAAAATTTAGAATAATAACAATTGGCCATCTCTCCCACATACTATGGGGGAGATGGCCACATCAGTATGGGACAGTTGGCCACAGTAAGAAATGTAGATTTATTAAAACAAATATATATATAAATAAAATAATGCCTTGAAAATTGTGGAAACTAATATTTTTATTAAGTACAATGTTGCTTAAAGCATAGGGTTTTTAACAAAATAAATCTAGTCTACAAAAAATACTGTATTAAATCGGAACAAAAATTCTTTTGCATGTGTTAAAATTTTCTCACATCTTCATTTTACATTTTTCAAGCATCTTTTTCCACACCTGTGACATAGGTCTACGTATTTTGTGCAGGATTCGTGTAGCCAAAACTGACATCGTACACAACGAATCCAGTCATCTTTTTTTGTTGTGAATTGATAATCTTCCCCACAGCCAACACACTCATCCTCGCCAAAATCTTCTTTTTCTTCGTTTTCAGATTCGCTACTAGGAAATATCGGTTCATCTTTTTCACTGTCACTGCTCGATGGCGATTTATTTTTCCTCTTTCTACCTTTTTGTACAGGAGTTTTATCTTTTAGTTGTTTCTTATCTTTTTTTAATTTGATTTCGCTAACATGTTCTGGTGACGTTAAAACAATGGCCACTTTCTTTGCACGTTTTCGCACCATTTCAGTCAGTTTTGGCGCAGGTGAAATTTCTGAAATGACTTTTGTAAATGGTGACTCGATCTCAACAGATTGCTTTGAAGTGCTTGCTTGTGGTTCTGTATTTTCGATTTCGATGTCTCGTTGGTTTTCATCATTTGAACTTGTTTGAATTTGTCCTGTTTGACGTGCCTCGTCTTCCATCTCGTCTTGCATTATTATCTGCGACAGAGAAGGCGTAGTCAGGAATCGCATTGGGATTGAAAGGATAAATCCCTGTAGCTCTGAATCCGGCAATAGCGTTTTCAGGGGTCGCAGATTTTCCCCAGCATGCTTGTAGAAGTTCACCGAACTGGTAGCGAGTGATACGCCGGCCAGGATGGGCTTTCATCCAAAGTTGGCTGGCAGCGTAGAAGTGATTTTTCACAGACTTAAATGCAGCCCTGTCAAGCGGTTGGAGATAGTGAGTTGTGTGGCTCGGAAGGCACAGCAAAATTATGTCATGTTGGTTGGCAAATTCAAGCATTTCAACAGAACTTGAATGAGATGCGTGGCCGTCCAATATCAAGAGAACTTTACCATCAGGTTTTCTTGGTAGAAAATGATCTCTTAGCCACTCAAGAAAGATATTATTATTCACATATGCCGATTTTTGAGACATGTAGAGAACAGACCCAGGAGGCATGTTATCGGTGTACTCTTTATTTTACCCTTCATCACGCAGGCGGGTGGCAAAAAATTTCCTTCTGCATTGCAACATGCTATAAGTGTAATCGTTTCACCTCTTTCTGTTGATGTAATATTGGACACGTTTTTTGAACCTTTCACAGCTAATACAACTCCTGGACGGGTGTTGAGCTGAACTCCTGACTCATCCATGTTGAAAATGTTGCCGGGTTTGTCAAATAGCTCGTGTTCTTCAAGGCATTTTTCTAACAATTCGAAGTATTTTTTTACCTCATCCCGATTCATTGCATGAACGCGATTAAGTGAAACGCCTTCCGATTTTCTCAGTGACAAATCAGCATTTCTGGATAAAAATAACTTAAGCCAATCATAACCAGCCTTTTCATCGGTTTGATTAAAAGAGTGTCTGATTCCAATTTGATTTGCAAAGTGATATACTATAGAGCGAACGTCGTCACGTGTTAATGGAAAACCACGATTTTGCATGTCTTTTATATGACGAACAAGTCTACGTTCATTGTCTTTGCCAAGTATGCAATCGGGGCCCATGTTACCTTTGACAGTTTTGCCAGTTTTTATTCGTCTTTCCAAAGTTTTTCTTGGAATGTCAAATGTTACAGCTGCATTTCTTATTGAGGAACCATTTTCAACTGCTTCGATGGCACGGAGAAGATTTTGTTGGGTCCATAAACCTCGAGCCACACCTGGTTTTCTCGTATACTTAGTTGGCATCTAAAAAAATAATACAAATTACTATGGCCAACTCACCCAAAATGGGGAAGGCCATCTCACCCGATTTGTCAGGGAGAGATGGCCACCTACTGAATTTGTAGAAAAACGTACGGTAACGAGACCATTTTGAGGTTAGGATAAATTTCAAAGTGTGTTTTACTTGTATATTTAATTTCAGCAAAACAGCTTATAAGAAAAACCGAAACAAGAAATGATCATGCAACATCTCAAAACTACTTCACTTACCTTGATTTCCTTTTATCCTTTTATTACAGTAAAAACACAATGTAACTTCATGTATGATATCACCGCACAGCATAGATGTATAGACTGATTGTTTTATGGTACAAGCGCTGACATCTATCATCAAATGTATGAAATATGAGGTATGGCCATCTCACCTAGTATGGCCATCTATCCCGGACTTACCCTAATATATGCGCGAAACAGTTTGTCCAAAAAGTACAGTTGAACACACTTAAAATTTCACACTGGGGAAAAACCGTTCATGTGTAAAATATGTTCGAAACAGTTTCCCCTTAAAGTACATTTGAAAAGACACTTAAAAACTCACACCTAAAGACCGTTCAAGTCTGAAATATGTTCGAAACAATATCTCTGCAAAGGTAATTTGAACAGGCACTTTAAAATTCACAACGAAAAAAAATCTTTCAAATGTGACATATATTCGAAACGATTTACACAGAAAAGCAGTTTGAAAATACACTTAAAAATTCACACAGGAGAGAAACCGTTCAAGTGTGAACTATGTTCGAAACAATTTCTCTGCAAAGGTTATTTGAACAGGCACTTGAAAATTCACAACGGAAAAAAATCTTTCGAGTGTGATTTATGTTGGAAACAATTTACACAGAAGTTTAAAAATTCACATAGGAGATAAACCGTTCAAGTGTGAATTATGTTCGAAGCAGTTTACAAAGAAAAGCAGTTTAAAATTGCACATAAAAATCCACACCGGACAAAAACCGTTTAAGTGTAAAATATGTTCGAAACAGTTTCCACGGAAACGCTCTTTAGAATCGCATTTAAAAATTCACACTTGAAAAAAAATCAACGTACGAAACTGTTTAACCAGAAAACCGATTTAAATAAATCACCATAAATAGAGTAATTCCGGGAGAGATGGAACACCATTTTAATTTTTTTAATAAATCAAAGTATATTCTAAAATGAGTCTCTCATAGTTATGAACGTTATCCATGACTAAGTGCACAAAGTAAGATCTCTCTCTCTCTGCAACGTGTGGAGGGTGGGTTACCCCCCATGGCACTTATGCCTCATTAGGCCCATTGTGCATCCTCCTAAGATGATAGGCACTTCCTAGCTCGTGAGTAGTGATGGCAAAAAATATAAATATATCGATATTTTGAATATATCGATATAATATAAGATTTTTTTAACATTTCGACAATGCAACCAACCTAATAAAATAAAATTGACCCTAATGACATAAAAAATCAGGTGACAAAAGGTTTTATTGTTCGTTGTTGGTGCAGTGTCCACCAGTGTAAATTACACCAGTTAGGTTATTTGGTTCGTCCCACTGGTGTAGGAATGACCTACACACTAAACCATTCGTTTGGCCCGGTGTAAAACCCACTATACCTTCCTGTCGGCGATATGGTGTCCACTGGTGGATATTTTCTCCACCAGCTATTTAGCAGGAGTGAATTATACTAGACATATGCATAAGGAATAAGGAGGAACTAAATTAGGGCAAATAAGGTAGTGTAACTGGTGTAATTTACACTGGTGGACACTGCACCAACAACAAACGAAAGCACCTCTTATTTGCCCTAATTTACTTCCTCCCTATTCCTTGTACACATGTCGAGTGTAATTCACTCCTGCTAAATAGCTGGTGGAGAAAACATACACCGGTGGACACACCACATTGCCGACAAGAAGGTATAGTGGGTTTTACACCGGGCCAAACGAAAGGATTAGTGTCCGTTGGTGTAGTTCATTCCTACACCAGTGGGACGAACGAAATAACCTAAAGCTGTTTTTTCGTTTACTTTTTGGTGTTTTTTATATACTTTTATGCCGTTTACATACCATGTTGTACCCATAACGTAAAAAAGACCTGTTAGTTTGGGGTTTTTTGCACTTAAAGGTTAAAAAACTGTCAATGTCAACTGTCAATAAATAAACAGTCTCTTTTTGAGTGATCCGATTAGATTATGTCATTAGTATCAATTTTATTAGGTTGATTGCATTGTCATTGTATTAAAAGTCCTTCCAAGTTTTTTTATTCAATTATAAAATTGCAGTAAATGTGAACAATTACCTTGTAAAAATAGAATGAGATTTTTACAAGTTAGATTAGCTACGAAATTAGTATATCGTAAACAGCTTTTATATTCCAGATCTTACCAATAGTGTAGTACCTAGTTATCAATATTTAAATTTCAGTATGTTGAAATAAAAATAATACCATAAATGTATTAAAATTTATTTACTGAAAAATAGCACATGAAACCTATTAGGCATAATAATATATTTATAACGGTACATTTAATATTTTTATGTTATATTAACTGAAGATTTACTGGAAGGGAACTCAAAAATAATAATTTTGACAACCTTTTGCCAATTAACCGGTTTCGGCTTTTCAGAGCAGTCAAACCAGCTTTGGAACATAGTCGTTCACTTGGTACTGAAGTTGCCACAACACAAAAATATTTTATGGCCATTTTATATAGATTTGGATATACATTCTTCAGCTCTCCCCACAGTTCTAGAGGATCTTCCATTAAACTCTTTACTGGAACACTTAAATATTGTGTTACTTCATCAGCGCTGACATCGGAAGCCACATTTCTCTTTTTTGTATGAGCAATTTTCTTATGATATGCCCATAAATCAAAAAATTCTTCCTTGTCTGATGTAACAACATCGGAATCGAAGATGAAAATGATCCATTCTGAGAAACCTCAAATTTTAAAAATCTTATTGCATTTGAAATTGTAATTGGATCCTTAAAATGCAAATTTTTAAAGCGTGGATCTAAAAGTGTCGAAATTGCAGGTAAAAGTGATTTTTCAATTCCACCAAATCTTATAAAATTCTTTTATTAGTTCCGTTTTAAGATTTTTTTCCAATTTCATAGGTTAGGTTTTTTGTTTCATTTTCGTATATTTCGAAAAGACACCGCCATCGGAATGATTTTACTCACAGTCACATAGTTTTGACCACTAATTTCAGTGGTCATTTGCTCTAAAGGGTAGAGTAATCTTCTAATTTCTTTTAACTGTTCTAGTTCACCTCCACTTAACATGACTGGTGCCTCTGCATTTAAAAGAACAATGCTGCTGATTTGTGGAGAAAGTTCTAAAACTCGATTTACCATGTAGTATGTGGAATTCCACCTAGTTTTAATATCTAAAATAATTTTTTTAAATTTGCCTTCAGGTGTCCCTGCACCTCTCTGTATTTTTCGAAGTAGATCCCTTGCTTTATACACTTCTTTTAAAATAAACAACAATTAATATTTTTTCAATAAGATTATTTAGACCTTGCGTATTTTTAATACTGTTTTCACACAGAAGATTGAGAGTGTGGGCAAAGCATGGAACATGCTTTACTTTCTCAAATTTATCATAAACTGCTTTGAAAATATTTGCAGCATTATCTGTTACGACAGCAACTACCATTTCAAGATTAATTCCCCATGTATTTAAAATTTCAATTAATTGGGATCCAATATACGCTGCTGTATGAGACCCAGTTAGTTCAGTAACTCCAGTAGTACAAGAAATTAATTTTAAGTCAAAAATTAACTGTATAGTAACACCCAGGAAGCTTTTAGTTTGCATATCAGCTATCCATGTGTAAGTTGTTATAGTAATAGACTGCACATTGTTTAAAATTTGCTTTAATGCAGTAGATGCTGACTCATACTTCACGTCAACTTGGTTTTTTATTGTATTTCTGCTGGGTACTTTGTACAAAGGAGCTGCTTGTTTCATTAAACTAACAAAGCCCTTTCCTTCAACTATACTGAAGGGCATATGCCTTTTACAATAAACTTGACAATAGCCTCAGTTAGTTTCACATTATGGGGACTACCATCTAAAAATAACGAAAAAAAATTGCGGGCTGTCTCAGGGAAGTAAACACACTACTACTTGTAGTACTCTTTGACCCTACTGATACAGTTGATGATTCTGATAAAGTGTCAGTTATATCAGTATCGCCTTCCAAAACTGTCATATTGTGAAATTAAAACGTTTATGAGTCATTGCGATTATTAAAACTTTATATGGCTTATGGAAGATATCAAGGTGTAAAAATAAATATTTGTAAAATATAAAAAAATATGGAGCATATTTAAATACAATATTTTTTATTTACCTTCGTGGATGGAATTTCATAACAGCGCGGCACAATAAACACAGCAACCATAAGCAGCGAACTTCTAAGCGTGTCTGAGAAGTCGGCTTGGCAATAAGAGAGGAGATATTAAACTGCGCCATCTCACCCGCTGGGCCATCTCTCCCGCCGCGCCATCTCTCCTGCCGCGCCATCTCTCCCGGAATTACCCTAAACATTGATGTATGAAATGTCTTCGAAACAGTTTATCCAGAAAAACGATTTAAAAAGGCATTTACAGATCACACTGGAGAAAAACCATTAAAATGTTAAATATGATCTAAACAGTTCGTCCAAAAAGTATATTTGTAGACGCATTTACAAATTCACGCCGGAGGAAAATCATTCAAGTGTAAAACATGTTCGAAACAGTTTACGCAGCAAAAGCAGTTTAAAGTTGCACATAAAAATCCACACCTGAGGGAAACCGTTGAAGTGTGAAATATGTTTGAAACAGTTTACACGGAAACGCTGTTTATAATTCACACTGGAAAACAATCATTCAAGTGTGAAATATGTATGAAACTGTTTAACCATAAAACCGATTTAAATTAAGCACTTATTAAATCACCGTAAGTAACCATTCATGTGTGAAATGTGTTCGAAACAGTTTATCCAGAAAAATGATTTTAAAAAGACACAATACAAATAACACTGGAGAAAAAGCAAGTGTGAAATATGTGGGAAAGTTTTCAATGAAAAAATATTTAAAAGTACACTTGAAAATTTGTGATAATTCTCAGATTTAAAACAATAATTTAGGTTTTACATAAATATTTGATGAATAAATCGAGCTTAAAAATATATTTTTATTAAAAATTTAGAAATTTAAAATATTTTAGGATTATAAATTTGAGATATAATTTTATTGTCCTCATTCTAAAACCCAAAATGTACATGTTAAAATTAATGTTGATATAAACTGTAAACATAAAATATAACTTGCCTAAAAAGCAAACGAGTATTATTTCTAAACCTATGAATAATTTCATAACCTACTTAACACATTCGCGGACAGAGCAACAAATGCCGTATTTGAAGAAGGTTGCCAAATTGTCACTACCATATTTTTATAATCTTTATAGATGATTGAAACAAGTTGCTATGGGTTTGTTATCACTTTTTATGGTGTTTAAAAGAAAACAAGCGCGGTTGATGTTGCGTTGTCCCTGCAGATGACGAATTTTTAGTACATGGGACAAAGCTGCGTATGCAGCATGGAAAATTTTCGAAACAATTTATTTTTATTCTTTAAATATCTACTACAGACAAGGTTTTCAAACACAAATAAGTATAATTACTATCTATTTACATGGTATAACTCGAAGCACGGCACAACACAAAGTGGTGGTTGATCAGAACATGTTTTGCACATGGGTAGATATCAAAAAATTGCCACTTTTCAAGGTAAAAATGAAAAAATATAAAGCTAAAATTAAAAAAAAAGTAAAATATTGCTGTGACGTCAGATTCCAGGAAAAATTGCTGCAGCGCAGTTTATTTAAAAACCGACCTGTCAAACTGACATTTAGTTTTTGCCTTCCAGGATCTATAGGGCTTTACATATGAAGGAGTTGTCCCGTTTTTTTAAATGATTTTTTTGTTGAGAAATGTTAGAAACGGTAAAGGAATCGTTTTCGTTATAAAATGTATCTGCATATTTTGCACAAATTTTTTCTATTGACGATTTCTCCTCTTTATTAAGAGATTTTGTGTGTATTGTATTTAATAACCTGTCTACCCTGACTACCCTTATAGGTACCCTACTAAAAGAATGTACATTATAAGAAAATATTTGTTCTAGTTTCGGTTTAAAATTCTTTAATTTAATTTAATTTCCTTATCGTTTGTATTTAAAATACGTATTGGAATTTTGGCGTTGCAACGGGGGACCTGTAGCCATTCTTCTGCATGACAGTCCAGCAGCATGAAGTCTTCTTCTAACGGCCCATTCACTAACGTTGACATTTCTCACTTCTTCCAACTGATTTCGCAGTGAAACCGCAGTAGCTGTCCTATTCCGCAAACTTGTGGACACCAAAAAACGGTCATCTTGTTGAGTGGTAACTCTTTTTCGCCCAGACCCTGGTCTTCTAGTGATCACGCCAGACTCCAGAAAGCGCTGGTACACCCTTTGCACACTACAATGACTAGCACCAACAATTCTTGCAGTTTCACGTTGCCCCCGACCATCTTGTAACAGCGCAACAATCGGATCTAAAGGCATTATGGGCCTGTTAAATCACTACACTTTGCAATCGTTAGGTTTTACATAAAGAATCAACAGTAAACTGGAAAACAGGCAAGGGAAATGTGAATGTTCAATTAGCGTAAAGGCACATTTTTCATAAAAGTCGTATAAAAGTTGTATTCTAATAAATCGAATGACAGCTGTCAAGTCTCGGAAATCAATTGCTTCAACGCCTACTAATACTATTATGTCCTTCAATATTGATGCTAAAATTATTCGCAATTTCTGAAGTGACCTCAATTTTTTGCTCGCCAGGGTAACTCACAAAATGAAAACTCTCGACTACACATCAACGCTGATGCAACTCGACTGACGGATATGAGATTCGGGTAGTAAGATGCAAATAATCGACAGGGAAGAACCGAAGTATCGATTATAGTTTTAGAGAAATATGAATGGTTTAATGTGTACCACCGGCTCATTGTTGACCACGTTACCTTACTAGCGGTTATTACTCCGCCACAAATTTCCTCTGAATGATTAACATTAAAATACTTAAGAATTTCGCACCTAGCAGGAATAATAGTATATTGTCATAATCAGCATACAACGGTATTTATATTTTTGCATCTTTTTATTACAAGTGATAAGAAAAAAAATTATATTAGCTTTATATTTAATAAAAATATTTTTTCCAATTACACCGTCAATTTCACTTGATAATTCATTTAATACCAAAAATTTATGATTCAGCTTATATCCATTGTGCAGGTCAAGATTAATATTGCAAGTTCCCGTTGTATATGTTGATCCTGCAAAGCCCTGTATTTTTGCTGTTCTATTTTTATTTATATTACTTTTATTTTCTATACACGTCTACTAAAAATAACACTCAGTGACCCACCTGTGTCAAAAAACTGAACACTTTCTCGATTTTCTAATTGTTTATTTTTAGTTTGTACGACGTTATTCGTCATAAAGTAGCCATTATGCCGAGGGGGATTATGTCTGCCAGCCATAAGAACTTGTGCTCCTCTGTTTCCTCTACCTGAATTATTATGCTTATTATTACTTCGACCTCTATCATTGTAATGGGTGAAATTATTATTTCTCTAGTCATTATTTTTAGAATCAAAATTATACCTATTGCTATTTCTAAAATTAATTCTGCCTCGATGGATGAAAGAATTACTTCGTCAAATATTTGAATTATCTCGCATGTGGAAAATTTGCGAAGAACTTAATCTTGTAATCGTTTCTTCTTCTCTAGCCCCTACTATAGCATTTGCTAAACTGTTATTATTCCTAGCCTTAATAATTGTTTTAATTTGCTCATCTTTAAACCCATTATTAAACACATTAACAGCTATTTTTTCATTTACCTTCTGCTTGAGCTATTGATAAATGTATTATTAAGCCTTTCCAAATGTTTCTATAGATTTATCGTTTTGCTTTAAACTATGTAACTCTACAGATACTCTACTGATACTCTACTGATACTCTACTGACTTTTTAGTAATTAACTTATCCCTAATATCTCTAATAAGCCCTTCTTTAGAAGTATAATTTTGATTATTTAGTCTAAACTTTGCACCTTGAGAAAAACGTGCTTTTAATACATATTTAGTTAAAGCCTTTTTACCATTGGCGTCTAAAAAACTGTCACATAACTCAATTGCATCGATAAGTATTTTTATGGATGACTCAAAATTGGGATTGGCACAGGTGTCATTTGGTAATTGCTTATATATTGCAGCTATGAACATTACAAAAACACGTAAATGTAGTAAAATTTGTCACACTGAATGCACCTGAAGCGAGAAAAAGGCGTTTTGTGCAAATTTTCGCCCATTTTCAGAATAAAATTTTGCGTAACATGTCACGAATCTTCTGCGGGCTGTAGAGTGAACCTCTTCCAAGTGATGACCATCGCGAGTGCGTGATCTAGGCGTATCAATATTTTGAAGCTTAGGAAGTGTAGTGTAACCCACTGAAATAAAGAGAGACAACTTAACTAATATCTCTCTCTTTTATAAAAGTATGATAAATAAAATGGCGGCGTGATCGACTATGAATTGACTAGGACACCACGAGTGACCGACTGAAAGATTCGTTATCTATTGGCTACTTACGTGTTATTGAGGGAGTGGTAAAGGTTAAAAGAAAATATCTATTGATTTATATCTAATCTTTATTGAAAATATTATAGATGAAAGAATCAGAAAGTAAACATTTATAAGTATATAAAATGTATTTATAAAGATTAAATATAGATCTGGTTCGGTGCAGTAAAATAATTAGTTTATCAAATGAGGGGAAAGAACCAGCAAGAAAACCCCAAAGTTAAAATAAATACAATAAAACCAATCAAACGTCAATTTTGATACAAATGACAAATTAAGTATATTAAAAAAAAAACATTTAATTACTTGATGATTTAGTAAAACACAGGAAAATTTATGAAATAATGTTCAATACATTGTATAAAAAAAAATCTAATACTGTAAGGCAAAAATAAAATATTTAAAGAACAATAACTTATCAGATAACAAACATTGAGCATCACTAGGTTCAAACACACTCGATGCAAAACTAAAGAAGGGTTAATAAGTAAAAGGTAATGGGGAAGCTATACAGCTTTACTACCCACCTATGAGTTAAATAATCTGGCGACAAAATAAGGTAAGTTACCGAAACACCTATCCCGATGTCCCAGCCACGGGCGAAAATGTTATTATCAATCAACAAGGCATTTTACACTTTTAACTTAGATCTGCCAATGCTGTGATTATCAAAATAAAACACATAATGATAGGAATACAATATTACTTTTCCCTTGCAGAACTTTAAAAAATGACTGGAAAATAATTTCAAGTTCAAATATTAATTATAGCAAATTTTCCTTAGTAAAACCACAAAATATCAATAAATTTCAAAAATATTTAAATTAAAATATCAAAAGTATATTATTTTTAACTGAGTTGAATAGTAAATAAGGCATAAAATCAAATAAACTCGTTATTGGAATGCAAGCTTTTTATATGACAAATACAAAAAAACCGACAAGAGATAACATGAAATTACTTATAACAGTGAAGTTCAAATCTAAAAGAGTGAATTATCAACAAGTTAAATAATATATAAAGCACTTGAAATATAGTAATTTATTTAAATAAGAACTTACATTTTATCACAAATAAAACCTTTTTTTAAAAATCACCTGTACTTAATCACCGGCATTCTGACTCTCCGATGTTCGATGACTCTCTGCTTCTGCCCAGCGCATGAACGATTTTTGTTCGTTGGAATTTTATCGCGGTCAAAAACGATAGAATAGGTGGACGCTTTATATTGCCATTCAAGGTGAACGAAATTGAATACGATCCCTTTCAGAAGGTCTAGGAAATTGCTGACTAGCTCCTCTTTGAATAAAACGATTGACATTTTCTGGTTGGTGATTTTCTAATGCATTATATAGGCGTTCACTATTGCTGATCCCAAAAGAAGTTCAATTGCTATCTTGCGATACCATTTCACAGACTTTCGTAATGCAGTTGAGTAGGACTTCATTTGGTCCGAAATGTCTATGAAACCTTTGCTTTAATTGTAGTCAACAATCGCAGATGGCTTTTGTACTACTCCACCTCGTTGACGAACGTCCATCATTTTAAGGGTGTGTTTGGTACTTAACATGAATACATCTCTTTTGTCTTTCCATTTACTTACTATTACACCAGTGTTACTTTCGCTTCCAATTATCTCTCCTTTTTTAGTTTTGCTTCTGTCACTTCTTTTGGATTATGCCTCCGGTTCTGCCTCAAAGTTCCCACCAAATGGCCAGAATCTAACAAGTCATTAGATAAACCAAAAACAACACTTTTTTTCTTGTAGTTCTTGGGTTTTAGGTGTTGAGGAAATGAAACCCGTGTTTAAGTAAAGTAAAGCTTTCGGCCCTGCTCAGGGCCTTCTTCAGTAGTTTTTTTAATTTTTTTTTAAACATATTTGTACATTTGACAGTTTTTTCTGTGGTACATTTTATGGGGTATGTAATTAATATTTAAATGTTATTAGATCCTTTTTTTTTATATTATTCTGTAAATGAATTTTTGTCATTTTTGTCATTTTCGTGTCCGGTACTTGATATTGTGGTATCCGTTATTGATTTCTTCGATAGTAAAAAAAAAAACTTTAAAAAAGGAGGTTCTCCTTTTATAAAGTAACAATAAAAACAACACTCTCCGGAACCGATTGATTTTCAGTTTTGTCATTGCCATTATATATTTTCAGGTCATACGTAAATCCTCCATTCAAGCAAATTTTATACAATTTGACGCCAGACTTGTGTTTTTTATTTTTTATGTACTGCTTAAACGGGACAAGGATCTCGTCAATACACAAACTGTCACCCGGCACTATCACTTTTTTGAAATTTGGTATGAGTTTCTCCAAAATTGGTGTCAGTTTATAGAGTCTCAATTGTTTGTCACTGGTTTCGTTATCACTAAAGTGTAAATTAGCCAGTAACAACTCAAATCTGTTGCGCAACAACGCATTTTTAGACCAATAAGCACTTAGCTTTGGTAACTTTTTTAGTCCCATCCATATAAGTATAGAAAAAAAGGTTTTTACTTGTTTTTTGTTTGTATTGGTCCACTTATTTATTCTTGCTCTTGGGCCGTGTCCACCTTTAGTAATTTTTTGACGAGCGTATCTGTTGGTTTCTTCAACGATTAATTCCAAAATATCATCGTCCATGAAAAGTTGAAAAAAATTGTGAGGTTTTTTATCAAACATTTCAAAATATTCATTTTTAAAACATGAATCTTGAATATTACAGGGAATATTGTGTAACTTCTGGCTATCAACTTTTTTCCATGACAGTGGTTTGCCTTGGTCAGCACCCAACTCTTCTGAAGAACTTTCCTTCTCCGCGATTTGATATTGCAATATAACGGCTTCAATTATGTCGTCTATTCTAGAACTCCCGCCCGTATTTTTTGAAGACGAGGGCATATATTTGTTGCTTGGGAATAATTTGGGTTTCTTTATTTGTGGAATATCATTTGACGAATCACTGGAACTGTCATCGTCACTTGAGGCTCTATAGTTTTTATCACGGACACGATCATCACTGTCTTCGTCCGATAGAAATTCCTCCATGAAACGTTGAAGACGCACCCCGCACCCTTTCACTTTCGTACGACATTGTTTAAGGTGTAACAGTCGACTAGACACTGAAAAATTAACAACCGCGCAAGTGTACGGCATCGGAAAAGCTAAAACAAAAGAGTCGCGACACGATTTTGTTTACGTGAGAAGCAAGTGTGCACCATACGTCCACGTGAAGTAGAAATTATTATTTGGGCCACGTGGTGCATACTTGCTTCTCAAAAGTAAAAATGCCAAAAAATTACTAAAAACCTAAAAAAACAGTGTAAAACTGGAAAACAACAATTTAAAATGTTAATACATTTTTTACTTATTTAGTAATTTGGCTCAAAAAAGTTAATTTTTTATCTCATGGTGGCAGTCAACGTGTTAACCAGTTTATTACAATCTATAATTTTTAATATCTCATCCCAATTTTCTTGTATAGTATTAATTTCTACTGAACCAAAAACATATTCATTGATTTGACTATTGCTTTCACTTAGTGACTGTTCACCTAGCTCATCTGCCAAATTTTCATCATTACAAATAGAATTTACATTAAAACTTTTACATAATGAAGGAAATTGATTGCACCTTTTACACTTATGGCATATCTTGCCATACAGTGGACACCTGTAGCGCTGATGCTGAGTTCCACATTTACCACATCTACTTTGACCTGCTATTTGTGACTGGCTACTGCCTCCTGAATAATTTCTTGGAGGAATGTTCTGCCACATGCCACTTCGGTTTTTCTTCTCTATCTGTTGGCTAGTAGTGTCTTGGTCACTTCTGTTTTTATGATATAATGTATTTTTTCTTTTGATTTATAGGTTCATCTGTTCTTTCAACCTCTTTAGAAATTTCTATAGCTCTAGTCAAGTTTAACTCGGGTTCTCTTAAAAGTCTATCCTTTATTATTTGGTCTTTTATACCACTTACTCTCTCTTTGCAAGTCCCGAAATCACAGTTTACTGCTAGGGCTTTAAGTTCTTTGAAATAGTCAGCAAACGTTTCATTAGGTAGTTCGTTTCTGTTATTAAATTTATGAGTTTCCACACTCGGGTTACACTTTGGTAAATAATATTCATCTAATATTCTTATAAGTGTGTCTGGATCTCTTTTCTCTTCTATTGTCAGCTCCATATTTTTTACAACTTCCTTTGCTTCCTCCCCAACATAGTGTAATAGTACAGCTGCTCTTACTTGTTTAGGTTTTCCGCACAACCAGTGACCAATATATAAGTTTCAAAATTTATTTAAATTTCTTCCAATTTACACCCAATCTCCCTCCATATTCGTAGGGGCCGGCATGGCATAACAATTCCATTTTTTTTTTTCGGAAATCCACGTGTTTCCTAACCTAATTTTTTTAGGTATATTGCCGAAAAATCTGTTTTCAGTTATTACAATCTATGGTTTACTAAATTTTTACTGACTGTCATGTTATAAGTTATGATTATTAATGAAACTGTAATAATTATTATTTACTGAGGTTTTATTAGTTAACTTACAAAAGTCGTTTTGTAACCTGTCTTCACTACCGAGATCACCAGAGAGAGAGAGAAAATGTATGCAACTCACCATACCGCAGGGTTTGAATGTTGATACCTACTGGTTAGGCAACATACAACATTGCTGGCATATCTTGCTTAACGTTAATTTCATCGTAGCTCATTTGAGATTCAATTAACCTTAATGTTGCTGCAGACTGGGGGCTTCTTTTGAAAAATTCCACTATTGACTTTGCTTTTACAAGAGTCTCGCTGATTTCTTTTAATTCATAATGAACGACTAAATTAATTGAGTGTGCGAAACAGGACAAGTGTTTCCACCCTCCTAATCGAGCTGTTGCGGACATATTTGCATCGTTATCTGTTACCAAAGCTGCCACTTTGTCGTATACATTCCACTCGGTCAAAACTCGTTCGGTTTCAGCTGTATGTCTTTCATTGTACTGAAAACAATCTAAAAAGTGCGCTGTAAAGTCATTAGATATTGACGTCCATCCAGTCCTGGATTTGTCAATAGGCCATATAGGCCGCGGCCTAGGGGCGGCAGCGTTCTAGGGGCGGCAGATTTCAGAGGACGCTTACTTGATTTCAGAGAATAAAAGTCAAACAAGTTCACTGGTTTTCTCATTGTTTTTTTTTTATACTAACACGTAAAATCCCTATAGAAACTCATTCCTATCGAAAATTATCAATCCTAGGTACCTACTGTTATTGTACCTATTTTATCTATATTACGACGATTTGGTTCAAGAATGTGTACATTTTCAAAGGCACATTTCCTCTAATAAAACTACAGAGTGTGCAGTGAAGCCTGGATCAAACTCACTACTGTCTCTCAACGTTTTTAAGGAATCAATCTCTGTCTAATGTTTACCCTAACTTGGATATAGCTCTCCGCATCGTACTTTCCACTCCGGCTACAAATTGTTCTAGGAAAAGAAGTTTTTCCTGTTTAAAACGCCTGAAAAATTATCAAAGATCTTCATTGTCTCAAGAAAAAAATTAATTCTTTAGCTCTTCTCTACATAAACTATGATGATATTATAGATGATTTTGGTAATAAAAAGTCTCGTAAAAAAATTATAATTCTTGTTTCTTTTTTATGCTCTTTCTTAATGACTAATTCATTCGTTTATTTAACTTTAGTATCTTCCTTACTACAAATGGAAAATTATTATTTTAGAAAGGTACATGGGGCGGTGAAAATAAAGTGGCCTACACTCATAAAAAATATAAATCCGGCACTGCGTCCATCTGTCTGTAATACTAACTGTTGCCAAAATAATTGTTTGCACATTCTCGCCTAATTTATTATATACCTGATCAAGTAAAACTTTTGAAACAGTTTTCCGAATAGGTAATTAAGATAGGTTTAGCATTTTAACCAAACGTATAAATTTCTCATTTTGTACCAATGAAAAAGGCAAACAATCGCAGGCTACCATTTTAACAATCTGATGACAGGGCCCGCTCTAGCTTTCATGTCATGTCACCCCGGACAAACAGACAATTTGCGTTTACGTTTAACAACGTATTTATTTGAGACATTTACGAGTTTGTTTTTCATAAAAGTTTTTTATCTTCCCTGCTCCAAGCCTCCCTGCCCCTCTCTGGTGGCGCCACTGTTGTAACGTGGTCGTTGAAAGCAAATATACATATGTATTGTCGTTACGTTGATCCCCATGATAGAGATTTTTCTTATCGTGTTCCATTTGTTTCGAAATAGGTACCTCAAACAGTTTGTTTTAAAAAAAGCGTTTAATACATATTTACTATTGCTATTCTTATTTTACTCGAAATATAATCCAGAGCATTTATAATCGTGTTAATTTTTATATTCGCGCATTTGATGGTCCGGTAATTATTTTCCCGAATACTTAGATGATACACGGTACGTTGCACAATCCTATAGAAATTCGAGTATTTTTGACTTGTATCTAGCATTCGTATGTCCGCCATATTTGCAGATCTGCAAAGTTGCAGACGTGGTGCATTTTCTGTAATCTCATACTAAATGTCTTCGTTTATAAAGATAAGTTAGGTCACATACCTGTTATAAACGATTTAAAGTAGATTAAAATTGTATATTGGTATAAAAAATAACTTCAAAATATATTCATTATCCGAGAGGCTCCTTAATAGGCTCATAAGGAGTAATAAACTGGTGGTCGGGTCCGACAGTCCGCTTAATCCCTTAGAGTGAAATTTACTTTATTTTAATTAAATCAAATGCTGTTTAGAAATCCTTAGTTCATGCAAATTTTACCAATAGCCTATACAATGGTTTTAATTTATGTGTCAAATTTGGTATACATTTTGAATAATAATTCACCATACCAAGAAAAGAACGAATTTCTGTTAAATTTTTAGGTTCAGTTATTTTTGAAATAGCTTCAACTTTTTTTATATCAATTTCTAATCCAGCTGCAGATATTTTTTGCAATACAATGCTGAAAAAACATAGTTTTTCAATTTAATTTAAACCCAGCTTTAGATGCTCTTTTAAAAACTTCTGCCAAATTTTTTAAATGTTTAGCATCATTTATCCCATTGTCTAAATAATTTACTGTACCTTTACACCTGCAGTACTTTTTCTACTATGCGTAAAAAATGGTTTGGTACCAAGAGGAAGTCTTTTTATTTAAAAAAATTCCATAAGGAGTACTCCAAGCCAAGAGTTCTGATGTTTTCTCATCTACTTCCAATTGATTATAGGAATTTTTAAAATCTAGTTTGGTGAACTTTTATCCACCTTTCAATGCCGCAAAGATATAATCAATTAGGGGTAGAGGGTGGTTTGAATCTCTTAAATATTTATTAATGGTTATTTTATAATTTGCACATATACTAATATCCGTGCCATTTGCTTTAAGTACAGGTACTAAAAGAGTACCCCATGCAGCATTCTCCACTTTTTCAATCGCCCCTTCCTCTTCTTATCTATTTAGTTCTAATAGAACTTTTTCTCTAAATACAAATGGTATTTGATGCGGTTTTTTAAAAATAGGACAAACCGTTTGCTCTGTCTCTAAATGGACCTGTTCCACTTTATATTTTCCTAGTTCACCATTAAAAAGTTCCTGAAAATCTGTTAACAAGTAACTTAATTCAGGTGAATTGCCAGTACCATTAATATTTAAATCATTAACCTCAACACATTTACTTATTTGTTGTTATCGTACCCAATAAAGATAACTTAAAAAAATATCACGACCTCAACCACCACTAAATAAACAATTTGGGTAATTTCTCCTACCTTTAGTGATAACTTAATTTGCCCTTTTGGCTTTATAATTGGTCCATTATAATATTTTATTCTTATACTACTAGATTCTATTTAAAAAATGTTTCATACCTAGTGACTGGTATACAAGATACCCCTGCACCTGTGTCCTCCTTCATAGTAATAGGTATATAATTTATTATAACTTGAACAAATAAGGGGTTAACATACCTATTGATATCTAAATTATAAATATTAATATTCATCATCTCCACTATATCATCCTCCGAGGTATCCTCGGGTTCTACAAAATGATTTCTTTTTATTTTACATGTTGCCGAAACGTGACCTTTTTATACAATATTTGCAGACATATTTCCTAAATTTACATACCTTAAAATCGTGATTACTCTTGTTACAATAAAAACATAATGCTTCATTTGTGTTGAACTTTCTTTGTAAACTGCCACTAGCTTGTTGTCGACTCTGAGATGAAGTCCTTAGGCTTTGCATTCTTGTTCTTTCTACCACACGTAGTTCAATCTGCTTGGCCTCTCGAATTGCTGCTTCTTTGACTAACGCGATTTCTACCAAATCTTTTAAATCTCTGTCCGAGTGCTCTTCACATAATCTATCAAGAATCGAGCCTGATCTCATGCCTACCATAAATTTGTTTTTGACATCATTTTATCACCAAAATCATATTGGACAGTTATGTTTATCACCACTGTCACCTGGAAACAGTTATTCAAATAATAAAAATGAATGTGTAAACCAATTTAAATTTTAAAATATTATTAATAGTAAATAATAATGATTTAGCAAGTTGTGACTCTCCAGAAATATTTATATTTTGGAATAAGGATGACAAAGAACTTGGTGGACAATAAGCACTGATGATGGCAACATGCCGAAAGCGCTTTGCATTTAATAATTAAAAATTTTGCACGAAATACAAGTTAAATTATGTTTTTGACTGTAATATAACACTGGTTTACCGACTCCTGTCCTTGTTTTAGGGAATCAAAGGAAACCCTCCTTGTAGTATTGCAGTTTATCTCCAACAAAATATGTAATCAATATTTAACAATAATTAGCAAATACTTAAGAAGAGGATAAGAGAAAGCTTCGTGGGTTATTCTTCTCGGTCGTCCTCTATACCCGTTGCCAGTCACGTCACTCCGCTGTCCCGCTTGTCAGCAGTGGGATTCTCATGTTCCAGCTCAGCATATCTCGAGACGCTTATCTTCGTTCGACAGGCTGCGATTCTTATGTTATGTCTCTCTCTATTCAACACGTTACGTGTTGAGTTGGCACATAAGAATCCCTGCGCATATCAGCTCTTGCCAGACGGTTGTATCTACTAGCAAAAAGAAAAATACAAAAAAACACAAAAATGTATAAATTAAAATCAGTTGTCATTCTTGATATCTTGCTGGAGGAATTTTCTGACATGGTGGATTTCTTCCTATTTCTACTGTACAGAGAGTTTCCTTAACCATTACTGGTCCAAAGACTTCTATTGGAATGGTCTGTTTCTGTTCGTTTGTTCCTGTTTTTGGATCTGTAACTCGTTCATCGACAACCTCAGCCACATTAGGAATATTTGATGATTCAGATCTTCGTTTACGTCATTATATGGTTTGGAATCTTGTAACATGTGAGTACTAACAGATCTGTGATGAGAAAGAATGTGTGGTCGAAACTGGTCAGCATGTTTGCGTTTTCAGAAGTGGCGTAGCTCAGTGCTACACTTTCAATGCAAAGGAAAAAATCTATTGTATATATTATAATGACACAAATTTATCCACACATGTAAAAGCATTTTTATAATTTGAACTGTATTAAACAAAATATATCCAGGTGCAAGATGAGGTAAGTAATTTTCTACATTTTCAAAAAATAAACATTCCAACTGGTAAATGTATTGGTAAAAACATCGGTTGGTGTTTTTAAACTTCCAAATAATGATTTGATATCATAAGCTTTCAAATGAATAAAAATATTGCTGCTATCTAAAACGGAAGTTGCAGTAGGACATTGTTCACAAATGTTACAACTATGAATTCGAAGCGATTTGTGACAATTTCTGGAGGTAAACGCTTTAAAACTTGTTCTCTGTCAAGTGGAATAATGCCACAACCACGAAAACCAGCCTTAATGTTATCTTCCAATTTGTCTGCAATATTTAACAAAGCTTTTCTCAATAATCCTGGAAATTCTGGTTTTGGGATAACTCCTCTATTTTTCTTCTTCCACTCGTCCAGAGTTTTTCTCTACGATTGCTTAACAGGCTTGAAAAATGCAGTGTCAAGCGGTTGTGTGAGATGCGTGCTGTTTGGAGGAAGTAAAACGAATCTGATGTTATTTTTTTGACATTCCATGATGACATTTTGGGAGACATGTCTTGCCAGATTGTCACCAATAACAACCTTCGGCCCTTGAAGTCTTCTGAAGTAAGCTAATGCTATTGTTAAAAACCATTCTTCAAATTGGTTCGAATCGAGCCATCCACTCTTAGTATTTCCATATCTAGTACCCTGTGGCCCATCTTTCACCCAGTTTTGATAAAGATGCTCTGATTTGAATACCACATATGGGGGAGGGGGGGGGGGGTAACATTTCACCAGATCCGCTGATGGCAAACATGACAGATGTCGATGTTTTACTGGAGTCAGGAATACGGTCTGCATGTTTGCTGGAGCTACGAATTACGACTTGCTGATGGCCAGGGTCATCAGTAAAGTTTGTCTCGTCATAATTAACGATATGCGAAGGAGGAACATTTTCTAAAGATGTATTCAATTCATCAAAATTTGAATTGATTAATTGTCTATCAACTGCAGCCCTTGCTTGTTTTATATTCTCCGAAAGTCTCAGTGCTAAATTATTTTTGTGGCGAATCAGAAAAGATTTGATCCAGCCCGGCCCTGGCAATTTATTGGTAAATCTTCTGATGCTACACCCCTTTTATCATAATACTGTTTCACCAAAATACGGACGTCCATTGGTTCTAATGGGAATCCCCAATCGGCAAGACACATCAAAGAACTAACAATTTTATTTTCTTCAACGTTCGTTATGGCTAATTGTCCACCAGGTTTTTTCACATGCTGAATTATTGTATTTTTAGGTATTCCGTATTTAATCTCTAGATTTCCATAGCTGGTTCCTTTCTCCAGCCTTTCTTGAACAGCTTTCTGCAGCTTTTTGCTTTCATAATTATGATATGGCCTAGAACCAAGCCTCTTGATATATTTTCGGGGCATGTCCCGAGTCACCCTGAAAAGAACTTGAGATTAGATTTTCTAACGATAAAAAAAATTAAATTTAGCAGCATAAAAAAATCTTAAGACAACATTGAGAACGTGTCAACTGAGCGAACAAAACAAATTTCATAGCAAATATCACTTACCTTCCAATAGTTCAACACCACAATTTATCGACTTACGAAAACACCCATTTTTCTGCCGCTCTGTCTAATTTTTTTTCGCGAGAACGAAATGTTATGCAGCTGTGACGAATGAGACACTAACAACAAATAAGTAAACACGACTCACTGACCGAATTCCGCCGCCGGCCCAACGTATGCGTCCTCGCTACAATTTTTTTTCAGAAATGGCGTACACTTGTCCCAAGTCAACCGGCTTTTCCTTGTCACCCCGTTTGACGGTAATCAGCCACGTACGTAAACGCATTTTGTTCAGGAAATGCCATTCTGTGATAATCACAATTACTTATTCTAAAACTGACTGGTGATTGATGTTCAAAGGCAGAAATATTTGGTATAGAAATATTTCATACGATTGTGCTAAACACGATAAGATATTTTCGAATTGATCCTAACAATTCATAAACTTTGAATTAAAAAAACTAGTAAAAAAATAATTGATTTAACCTTCTTGTAAGAATGTATTTGACATTTTTGGTTTTTAGATAATTCCATAATTGTAATAGTAATTGAATAGTAATTTTCCAAGCCTTAATAAATTTGCAATACCTTGTATTATTAATCCCTGTGAGATTCATGACAGTGATTTTATCTAGAAGCGAATCAGTTTCATTCAATAAATCAATTTGATTGATATGTTTCTGCCGAAAATCCTTTTTTATATTTTGGTTCACTATTTAACGATGATGAATTAAACATATTAAACAATTTATTAATATGAGAAATGAATGTCACTGTATCAGAAGCATCTTGAAGCAAACAATTAAATGTACTGTATGTTTCCAAAACTGCTGCAATGGTGTAGCACTTAAAACTTGTGTTGCAAGTTTGACTTCCATTTTTTCAAAATTTGTTGGCTTAATATGTGCCTGCGTAAGTTTAGGAGCTAAACGATTTCTTAGAAGTATATCTTTACCATAAAATTGATTAATATAGTTCCATGAAGTCTTTTTGTTATCCCAATGAATTTCATTACGTAGCATATTATTTCTCACTGCTTTAACAAGGTGAGGAGGATCGAAATAATTAAAAAAAAAATTTTCGGCTAATGTAAAACTCGGTGTTTGTGGAGTAACGGCCAAATATTCAGATAGTTTGATCCCATATCAAAAATTGGGACGACCACATCAAAACCTATAATATCCAGTTCTTTTATGAAAATTTCTAATAATGTTTTTCTTTGGTTAACTGGTCCTGTTGTTGGCATAAATGCAAACCCTAATTATTGCTTCCAATTTGGTTTGATTTCCCTAGCCATAATTACAAAGGCACTATTAGCAACTTTTGATGTTCTATTTATGCCGTCATCCTCAAAACCAATTACATAATCACGACCGAAATTATAAAACAAATTGGATTTAATGGACATTTCGTCTATACACAAAGAACAAATACGATCATCTGGGTTCATGTTGTGAACTTTTAACTTTAAAAAATCAAACAGTTGTTTATTGAAACCAGCTGTAAAATGTGCATTTTCTGTAAATTTTTGGAGAACTCTTACTGTCGGTAAACAAAAAGTTTTTGTAGATGTCTGTATGCTTTTGGTCCAAGAAAATATAGGAAAATGTTTTTAAATTCGTTCGAATATCTTTGACCTTTTACAACTCTGTTTAAATTTTGTATTTGCACTAACAAAATTAGCTACTGTAGGGGTCAAAAATTTATCGCATAATTTTTTAAAATCTTCTATTTTAGGTTGTTTGGATATTATACTTGACAGTTTTTCGATCTCCTTCTTTTGTTTGTTTCCTTCTATAAGTCTGCAATTTGCTTACACATTTTAGTTTTTCGGGGACTGTTTTGTGACAAAGATAGAGAGGTTTAAGTTTCTACTGATGAGTTTAGTGGAGACGAAATTTTAGGTAATTCTGGGTCTATTGTTATTACTTTAGGAAATTCTGGCAGACATGAAGATTTGTGCAGTGAAAATAAACATTTACATAATATTAGTTCGTCCCCTTATGAATGAACCCCAGAAGCTCTGAAGAGCTTGTGCGGGGAAGAACTGATATTATTATTTTCCATGGCGCTGCGGGGTCACTTACAAATAATTGATGACGCCATTTCACTTGCAGCTAAGAAAAACCCGGAAAACCCCGCTCACCACAACAACATTTAAATGCAGTTACTTTACCTATAATATCCTGAAGGATTTTAATAGTTTTTTGAGGTTTTGATGTTTTAGAACTATCTTCAATTTCTCTTTTACAACTCGCAGAACTTGTTTATGGAGTTGATAGAAATTCAGAAGGATGTAATATTTTATAATTTCTTGGTAAAGCTGATACCAATAGTCTCTTTTTTCTGAGTTTGTAAACATAAAGTCTTCAAAATGATCACTACAAATGCGACGAGTTTTATTTAAATGTCCACTATTGCTATTTATTAGATCACTCCGACCACAAGCAGTTGCCCATAAATTGCACCTAAAAGTCCACATATTATTAAGAAGTGATAGGTACTGAACCAATCACCAGAAAACTACAGTAGACATGACATGAATTAAGCTTAAATTTATTACCGTGTTCACAGTAGATACCATAACGAGGTATATTTTTCATTTCACTCATGATTTGTCTATAAAAGAAGACTAGACACAAATACACAATGGTTCTTGTCCGAAAATGCACCCAACGCTTTGTCACGACCGGTCCTGATTGATTTGAATGTCACAGAAATATGTCACCTAACTTATAGCATCCTAAGCAAGGGGGTCACATAAAAAATTAAATTTTCACGCGATTTTAAGGTATCATTGATTGTCTTTAATAAATTTAAATTATAATAATATACTTTAAAATTGTTTTGTAATATTTTATGTTTAGCAGTTTTAATTATGCGTTATTTATATGTAACATCTGTGGTAGCTAAAAAATGTATGTACATTTTTCATTTGACTTAAAGTTCAATGTCACATAACATCAGAAAACCTAGAAGCATCAGCAACTTCGCATAATGAAACAACTTTTGCCTTCGGAACTGCGCAAGTGGAAACGAGTTGCTATGAGGGACCTTTAAAAGGGTAAGGCCATTTATCTCTCTCTTAATTTTGTTTTTATTTGTCAAGTTTCGCATCTGGGTAATCTGTGTCGATGCTTCGAATAACCACAAAATATACACTTGTTTCTTTTTGTCGATAGAGTTCTGTTTAAATACTGCTTCTGCTTTTGGTTTTCTGCGTGTATTTTTGTTTTGGTTTACGTTTACCCGATTTATTTGGGCCACTTCTGTTTGAAATATTAAGGAGAGTCTCTTACTGTGAATTGACGCTTGTTTTAACTGTAAGGCATGTGTCTACGTTTTTTAGAGAAGCTTGATTGGTGGTATAATTGAGAATAATTTCTTGTTGCCATTCTGCATTATTAACGCCGATTACTAGTTGGTCTCTTAAACGTTCATTTAGATTTCCTCCAAATTCGCATAAACCGGCTAACCCGCGTAACGCTGTCATAAATTGCGTGTTCGTTTCATCTTCACGCCGCCACCTAAGGCAAACGCGACACTTTTGGATAACAAATACGTTTTTCTACCATAATATTTTGTTAAAACCTTAACTAAGTCTTTATAGGTTTTGTCAGTGACCGGTTCTGGTTTGAAATGGTCTACTTATATTTTAAAAGGTTCAGAGCCTACTTTCGCAAGTAACAGGTTTCGTTTTTCTACCTCCGATTGGTCAAAACCATAGATAGAAAGCTCGACTTCGAATCGATGTAGGGGAAGTGTGCCTGAGATGGCATACTTTTTTGAGGGCTGTAATTTTTTTCTTTATGACCAAAAAAATATTTTTATGTTGGAAATATGTAAATAAGTTATAAATAAAGCAAGTTTTCACAAAACTTAACCGGTTTTTTTGTATTAAAAAAAACATGGTATGCCATCTCATGAAAGTAACTATTGATGAGATGGCATAGTAATAATAAAAATATGACACTGGAACCGTAGTTCCCTTGATAGAGACCAGGAGTAAAGTTCATTACAATAAATACAAGGCGAGTCCTCCTCATCTAGGTCAAAATCCTCGGCCTGCTCATCTTCATCCTCATCCTCTATAACACATTTCATTTTCATAGTTCTCTCCGAATTTCTCAGAATCCCTTCTTTTTTATGCTTCCTCGTCCTGCTCAATATCTACCAATTTTCTTCTTAACAGTTCTCGCCGCCTTTCTCAGCATCACGTCTTTCTTTTGTGTTCATTTTTCAATATTTCCAATTCAGGGGTTGTTATTAGATTTCCATGTGATCCTTTTTTTCTTTTTGGTCGCACAATCTCTGCGACTTTTGGCATTGGTGAAATGTTCTTGGAAACATGTTCTGAGAACATAATGAAGGACCTGGCATTGCTATTTTCGTTAGAGACCTTGGTAGATTGGTACCAAGTTTGTCATGACGTTGACTTCATTTAAATGACCATCTTGTATTTGATTTTCGTCCCGATTGTCATCTTCTTTAGCGTTAGTTACTTCTGCGGCAGCAAACATCCAATCGAGCTTAGAGCGATAACTATTAAATTGTTCATTTAATAGTTAAAGCATTTTATCTGGATCCTGTTCAGATTTCCTATTTCCTATCTTAACATTTTAATCCTTTTTTAGCTTGGCTATATCTAGACGGTTTTAAATTCCTCTCAAGACGTTTTTGATTAATCTCTAGACGTGATTTAGATTTATCGCTATACGTTTTTGGGATTCAACTCTAGACGTTTTTTGGTTCCATCTCAAGAAGGTTTTTGTTCAATATCTAGACAGTTTATGTTCGAATACTGAAGATCAGTCACAGTGCAGAATTATGCAGAATTACGAATAAGGATCCCGAATCCCTTGTAGAAGTTGCCTGAAGAAATACCATGTTATAGATTTACATTCCGTATATTACCTAAGCTTACCGAAAGATAAGTGCTTTCTCAATAAATCGTTTAAATTTGAATTTATTTCAACTTATGTGAACTCGAATTTGATAGCTGCCTTATCTAAAGCATGGTTTAGATATTTGTTAGTGGTTAGTGATTTTCTATATTTTTATCACTAATCTAGAGTCAAGTGTAGTAAGCTGTAAATATAGTGGGTCCCAACTTCTTTGTCAAAGTTATTCGAGTTATTTAATAACCTAACCCACGCCCTATCAATTGAGCTCAAACACATATAACAAGTAGATAGAATAACTAGTAATCACGTTACACCATTTAACCAGATCCACGCAGCCATTTTAGTTTTAGTAGAAAATCGATGAGGGATTTGTTTTTCTTCCGCAATTTGAAATGCCAGTTTGCGGACATCATCCGTTGTTAGTCCAAAAAACATGGATTCCATTTTTTTAATATGTTGGACCAGTTCATTTTCTTGATTTTCATTGAATGTGGTTTTGTGACCTCCTAACTAACCTTTTTCCAGCCTGCCTCCTTACTTGCCCTACGTTCTTAAAGTCCCAAAAGGGACATTAAACGTTTTTGATGCTAGAAGCCACCCCATACGTTTCGCTTTCACAGCTAAGATGGCTTCCTGCATATTATTTTCATCCCATGACTCTCTATTTGACTTTCTTTTGTAGCGACCCATGTCTAAATACACAATATTTTAAATTAATAATTGAGTTGCCATCTCATAAATTGTACGACTATTTTCAAATAACACAATTTTTGCTAAAAACCATTTTAAACTAGATATTTGATAACCTAGATATAATCTTAAATAAATTCTCTATCTTAAAACAAGTATACCATCTCAGGCACAATTCCCCTTCTTCTTTTTTGACTTGAGGAATTTCGTTGTGTAAGCAGTTTTTTCCTTCATTATTATGTAATTTCTTTCACTTGGGTTGTCAAGATACTCCTGTGGGGTTTTTCCGACTTCGTACCACTTCTGTGCATTCAAGATCCCACCAATGTTTGATATTTTTTATACCCTTTTTTGGGATCGCACTTCTTGAAGCTAGTTTAATTATTTTTGTGAGTTCTTTGTAATTTTTGATATTATTTAGAATAATGATATTTTTGCCGCCACTTCATGATATTGTTACCAGTTTGCTTTATTAAGGTCATACCTGTTTATATTTCCTTTTATATTGTTAGTCAGGGTAGATGGTTTACTTAAACTAGTAATAAATTCTATACTTATGGGGAATGCTCACTTGATCCGCCCATGTCTGGTAGGGTTTTCCACACATACTTTGATTACTATACGGTGCGAGAGAGAGGTCCGACACGCCCAACATAGGACGCGGCCATTTTGATTCCTATGCCACAGTTTATAGCTAAAGAATCAGATCGCTCACTTTGCGTCGGCACTTTTCATCTCAATGTTCCAGTTTATACACGGCGCAACTCGGATAATACAATATATGACAACCGCCTATAATAAAATAGCAGTCTTCTGCGTATCCTGAATTTGTATCCCTGGAGTGGATGTTATTTTGGAACTTTCAACTGGTCCGAGTGAGCTAACTGATTCTTTAGCAATAAACTGTGACTCCAAAAATAATATTCACTACCCAAGCTAAATAATGTGTTTACCCGCTAGAATAATGTGATGATTACCTTTTGGTGGTGTAACAATTCTTAGGATTAATTACTATCTTTAATTCCAAGTTAAACACGTTGACAAGACGGCGACTTTTTTATTACAAAAAATACAGGTTTAAACGATAATATTTTGAGAAATTGTTTTTAAAAATGGGTTTGGAGTACTGTAAAGAATGGTGGAAAGTCTAGAGTTTGTTTTACCTGCAACTTATTCTCTCTTAAAGGCTGTAAGCCTATTAATGCTTGTAGGTTGCGGTTTCCTGATCGAAATTTCGGGGTTCCGTTTTAGGAACCTTTCAAACCATTCTTCCAGCTGCTTTATTTTTTTTAATGAATGGGTTTTTTATATATGGTAAATGCATATTGCTTAATTTCATTGCTAAACAATAAAATATTTTGAATAAATTTATTATTTCTGCAACTAGCTCTTTTTCTTGTTTTGCTGAAAATACGGGTTTCTTTCCCATTATAGGTAGTGCAGTGCTTTTATTTTTAAGACGATCCTGTAATGTAGATCTTGAAATAGAACATCTCAAACTAACTTCTACTATCCAGGAAGCCTTTTTTGAGATACAAGTATAGTGTCTTGGCATCTGAAATAAATAATTGCTTATAAACCATATAAAACATACCACCTTTTTCTTCCCTAATTCAAAAATAATATTAATAAGCAAGTGTGGTGGTAATTCCGGCCGGCCGCTATTGACCTCAAAATAGTGGACGGTTTTACCTCCATCTACAATGTAAAAATAAGCCATGAAACTACTATCTAACAAATAAATAACATTTAATCTACAATATAACATGTTCTATTTGCCTTAGAATTGGTCACATTTTTATATCAACAAATATATTTTATTTTAATACACAAAATCACAAACGTGGATTATAGCGCGCGAAATAACACTACAAGTTGTATTTCTATTTAAAGTATGGAAGATATATTTGACATTCATAATGACGATTTAGACACCTTGGAGATAATCGACTATGGATTTCCGAGAAGGATTAATAGAAGACCAAATTATTTTGAGAAAATTGACAATATGACATCTTTTAAAAGATTTCGCCTTTTACAAGTATTAGAAATTAAAAATTTAAAAAAACCAACTTCAAAAATGTGCCAAATTTATATGGAACCACCACTGAGGTACCCCCTTACTAACAAAAAACGAATCATATAAATCGGACAAGGTGGTAAAGCATTATCGCTAAACATATATAAAAAATGAAGACTGAGGATTTTCTCATGGACCCAATTATTAGATTTTGACCAGATATATATGGGACCACCCCTGAAGTACCCCCTTCTAACAAAAAAATAATCATTGAAATCGGACACCGTGTTAATGAATTATCGCTGAACATACATAAAAAAAATATCGCGACGAATTGATAACCTCCTCCTTTTTTGAAGTCGGTTAAAAACAGACAGTTTTGCAACTATTGCAGCAAATAGAGAATAATTTAGAATATCCTGACGAACAGTAAAGAATAAACGATATTATTTAATTATTATTAACATAATTTTGTTTACAGAAATAATAGTGTAAGTCCAATAAATCAGTTACTTTGTTGTTTACGATTTTACTCAAGTTCCGGGCATTTGAGTTCAGTAGCTGATTTTATGAAAATAGATGTTGCAACGGCAAGTAGAATTGTGAGAAAGGTATCCACTTTACCCCAAATACTTTTGAATGCCAGAGGAAAGACATTTAATTACTGAACCGGCTAAATTTCATAACATGCACAGCTTTCCTAGAATAATTAGTACAGTAGATGGTACACATGTTAGAATTAATTCACCAGGTAATAATCTATCTTGGCATAAAAATATTTTGATAAATTCATTATGTTTCTTTGTTTAACTGTTATACGTTTTCTTTATTTGCTTTCTTATTTTAGGTGGTTATGACGCCGAAATATATCGAAATCGAAAAGGATATTTTTCTTTAAATGTACAAGTAATGGCTAATGCTGACTTAAACTTTATAGAATCAGATGTGGTAGCT